GTGTGCCTTGGCAGTCTATGCTGTTATAGTAAAAATAAATGTTAAATGTATTTAATTGCTCTATAATATTGGCATATCATTTATTTTGGACGTATTAATGTATTGTTTCCAGCCTTGTTTGCTTCAAATGTTCTTCTTTGCATTAAAGGTCTATTGGTGCATTACTGCCACCTGTAGATCAGTGGGATAGTGTGAAAATCTTGAAAATAAATACTTCTTATTTTATTCACTTTCTACTATTTAGTCTTAACTAATTTTTACATGTATTTATTTTAGACAAAGCAGTGTGAAGGTTCAGTTTTCCAGTGAGAGTCTGGCTGAGCAGCTGGTGGTGTGGCTCACCTCAGAAGGTAAGACGAGTAGATCTTTTCAGCTTTTATCTAAACAAAGGGACACGTGCTAAAGCCTTATGCTGTTTTTGTGCACTGCACTTGTTAACATTATTGCATTTCACACATTCATACCTGTACAGCGACATTTTGTAGGTACAAAACCATTTGAACGAGTATTAAAGTGGTTTGATAATTGGGTCCAAGTGTAACAATTGTGCATGTGTCAGGACTACCATCAATATCAAAATATAATGGTCTCAATTTATGGTCTGAATGCACCATTAAACAACATTTGTTAACAAATAAAGATTAATATTAACATGATAAGATGCCTGTGATGAGGCAGGAGTTGCTTTTTGTAACTGTTATGACACATGTGTTGTTAATTAAGGACACGGCTTCCTCTTTCACCAGAAATGACTCACCTACCCTGGTCTTTTCTCTGTTTTAGGTTTCACCCTGAAGGACCTGGAGTCGGTCCCCTTCGGTGTGGCTCTGCCAATCAGAGAGGCCATCTACCGCTGCCGGGAGCGACCGTGCTCTGATTGGTCAGAGGAGGTCTGTCTGCTGATTGGGCGACAGGATCTGACTAAACAAGCACACAAGATGACCCTGGCCAAAAACAAAGCTGTGAGTGTGGAACAAGTTAATAACCAGGGCTTTTTTGATCAAGGGTTAGAATGCAGTGTTTCCCCTACCAACGGAGCCCCGCGCCTGAAATTCAAGGTGTTTTTTTGTATTAAAAAAATATATATATATATAGCACCAAATTGCAACTGAAGTAATCTATCTACGGTCACATTGAACAATCATGTGCTCTTTCATTAAATAAACTAAACGCCTTATTTATCCAATGTATGTGCATGTTTCAGTGTCCACTGCTTTGCACATTCACATTCCCCCTCCGCTCTGTTTCTGAAGGGTGGGGCTCCGCTCCCCCCCACGACGCACGCCACGCCACATGCACACCTCAAAATTCGAGGACAAGAGCGGGGAAGAGGAGCGAGAACAACAAAGTTTAAAAAAGGTCAAACCAATCTGCCATTATTTGCCCGAGCCGTCTGCTGGTCCCCGTTTGCTGTGTGCTCCCTGCCCAGTTTCAAATTGTTTATTATTATTTTTAACCTCAAAGCCGGTTATACGTCACGGGAGAAGGCCGACACACAGTCCTGGCCAGCCGTGAACGCGGCCGGCAAACGCGACAACGCAACGTAGCGTGCCCGCATTCTAAAAATAGCTCACAGGATGAGAGAGCACGGGTACCCGCGGTTTTACTACAGAATTGAATTGAACAGAAACACAACAATGAAACGCCAGCAGAAGAATGCTCTAATGAGGTGGGTGAAAAAAAGGGGGGCCCCCCCGCATAGTGGCTGAAATATGTTACAGCCATTACTACGTCTTAAACTTTTTTTTTTAACATCGCTAAGGAAGTCTGACTTGCTAAACATACGGACGATTTGTCAGACAACAGAGAATTCAGAATAATATCTTCTTTCCTATAAATCTAATTAAAGCTACATCTTTAAACCGTAAGGGTTGTTGAGATGAAAAATCGTCCGTACAATATTTTACAGCTTCATTGTTCTGCTATTATTTTTATTAGATGTTCGTGTATCCGAGATTTGAAGGTCACTGTCGATATTAAAAAAAAATATTGATATCATGTTAATATCTGCCCATTGGGTAAATATTCATTGTGTTTAGTCCATTAGGTTCGACGTTATGGTCACAAGACCCTAATTTCTTATCCTCCCATATACTTGTATTCTCGAGTGCTATTTACTTGCGATGAATATTGTTAAGTTAATTCTCTCTCTGCCTACCATTATATTTTTGTAGGTAAAGTCTACTATTTATGACACGCCCTTTTGTAAATATATTTAATCGTATTGCTGTGGTATTTGAGTCGGTTGGCTNTAGTTTATTACATCTTAAGAAGCCCTCAGACACTTTTGCTTGCAGATGTTGTGATTTCGGCCCCTTCGGCGGGTCCGTGGGGTTTAAGAGGCTAATTATACAAATAAAATCCAAACAAATTAATAAATAGGTAAAATGCAAATAAAATCCATAATCTTAGTGTGACTTTAAACTGTTGCTGGTAATTACTCACCACTTCCTCATATAAATATCAACCTATTTATTCTTAATTGAGATGGCAGTGATCCTCTATGAAACATTCATCCTTCACATTTAAGCATGTTATCAAGTCTGAAAATCCAGTAAATCCACTGTTTGAAATGTGTATTGTCTTATAAGAGTCTGGGGTCACATCATTTGACATCATTTACTCAGTGTAATATATTCAAATGTAATTTAAAATATGTGATTTATTCTGATAATTACGAATAGATTAACACGAAAAGTCATCTTATTACCTTATCTCATCTAATAGAAATTGGACTACGAGGTGTTCTGCTTAATTCTTCTGCAAAGAGGAAGATTTTTTTTTTAAGAACGTGTCCTAAATAATAAAATATATTCATTTATGAGTCCCGCAACTGGCAATGATGCTTTGTTGCAGGAGCAAATGGGCAATGCAACAACAAATAACAATGTATAGGTTAATTTAACAGTCACAAAATCCCAACCATATGATATACAATATATTGCAAAGGATATGATATTGCACATTTTTTTGTGAAATGATAAAAATGTTCCTTAATGTAGCTACCTCTTATTATCTAATTAATTCCTCATCATGGATTTATAAAGGTCCTCATCCCTCAGCCCTGGAAGGAGAGGATAAGGTAGGAAAGAGATGAAACTGCCCTGAGGAAATCAGCCAATCAGCTGCGCCTCTGCCCTCCTCCTCACTGCTGATTGGCTGACTCGTGGAGGAAGGGGATGTTGGGACAGCAAAGATGTCCGCGCTCATTTGAAAACCTGCGGTAGCCAAATCCAGAGTTTGGCACCTGATTCATGTTTTTTTTATGTTGACACCGTTCACGACGTTGTGCTGACGCAAGACTCAAACACAGGAAACATAAAGGACTCAACGACAAAAGCCAGACTATTCCGTACTATCAGGTAAAGCAGCTAAAACTCTATGCTAGCTGAAGCTAATGTTAGCTAGCGTGCTAATAGAGAAAAACAATGGCACTCTGTGGGGGTTTAGCATTAGCATGCTAATGCCGGACAGTACTTTGGAGCTAGCTTCTTACTCACAGCTGTCAACACGTTTTTTGACATAACGTACTGCAAGTGGGCTGTCAAGTACTGTGTTTTATTTTGTTGTTTATATTGGTTTAAGAACCTGCAGCTAGCTACGACAATGTAGCGCCTTTCAAAATCAATAGAACAGGATAAATCATATTGAAAGTAGTTATTAAGCATTTGTAAGTCTTTTTGTACCGTGTCTACTTACAATATAATTAAATGTATTGACTCACTTTACATAAAGCTTACTGTTCCATCTTAGTTTATGTACTGATATGGCAATGAAGAAATAAAGCCAAAGCTAACGTAATTAAACAACACAAAAAGCCAATAGTTGAATCTGCCCATTATGATAAAGTTGGCGTGATGAATATATTCATTCTTAGTTATTAATTCTTAAAATAAAATAAAAAGCATTTGTTTATACTGACTGGAAACACCATAACCACCTCAATTACAATCAGAAACATTGGTACCATAACAGACAACTGCTGTCTAAGTTTGCGTTTTGCCTTTTTATTTTCTGAATTCATAGCTATTTTTGTTGGGACATGTTTTGTTTTATTTTACTTTCAAGTTATCTGATTTTTTAGCTTAATGAAAATCAAGCTGTCACTCACTCATATCATTTACTAGTCTGTCTATTAAACCTTTTGAAGAATAGCATTATAATAAGTCAGTACAGTTTTGCCACTTGTAATACTTTTTATAACACTGGGTATAGGTATGACTTTGCAAAAGAAGGACTCCATATTTTCTCTCAACTCTCTTGGTGCTTATTTGTAAAACATTTTCCTTTTACCTTTCCATCCATTATTTCCAGAAATAATGCTGATATCTGGAACTCATGTCGGAAGTCGTGTATGAAGAGACAGCCACGATGATCGCAGCAGGGGAATTGCAGTCGTTTGTCCCGTTCGGCCGCGAGCACTGCAGGAACCATCCAAACGCCTTCAACCTGCAGCTCAGAGAGCTCCAGCCTGCCTCCGAGCTCTGGTCGTCAGATGGCGCCGCCGGCCTGGTCGGGTCGCTGCAGGAAGTCAGTCTGCAGGAGAGAGAGAGGGTGAGACTGCATGGAATTGTTCTTTACATATAAATGTATATATTTGTTAGAAAATATCACTCGTCACCGGATTGAGCTTCAATAACAGGATACATGTATTTATTAATCCTCTCAATAATGGAAGTAGTCATCACATACAGAGCATTTGGTACAACTAGTTCCTAAACAGTGTCCTTCAGATGCTTATATACTAGAGATCTATGTTTTACATATGATCTTATTATTGATGTGTTAAATGCCTCAAGTAAGGGTTTTTACAACAGTAAGAAAAAGGACCATAGTATAAAACATGGATGGAATGAACATACACATGACACACTGCTGCTAGAGATGCTTTTAAATTGTGGGCAGAATCAGGTAGGCCGAGACAGGGGTCTTTGTTTGTACATAAACAGGCCACTAATGCCAAATATAAGTATGCTGTCCGCTTCATTAAAAAAAACGAGGACACAATGACTCACTTGCCAGAAAGCTGCGCAACAATAGTTGCTATGATTTCTGGAAAGAGGTCAAAGTCATAAACAGCTGTAAGACTCCCTTACCGTCTTTCATTGAAGGAGTGTGTGGGTCAGGCAGCATCGCAGAACTGTGGCGACAACCAGAGTTCCCGTTAGAATATTTTTTCGCCGGTCAACTTGTTCGTTAAAGTTTAAATCTTCCGGACAAAATTATAAAAGTGCCGGTCAAAGGTCTTCTTTGTTATTTATTGAGCTTTAAAACAAATTGATATGATTTGATATTAAACAAACTAATAATAGTAGA